GACAATAGAGGCACGAAACATGGTCCACTCAGACTCAATGTCCCCCACCTCCCTCGGAACATGTTCGAAGTTCTCCCAGAGGTGGGAGTTAAAACTCCGTCTCACAGGAGACTCTGCCAGACGTTCCCAGCAAACACTCACAATACGTTTGGGTCTGCCAGGTCTGACCGGCATCCTCCCCCACCATCGGAGCCAACTCACCACCAGGTAGTGATCAGTGGACAGCTCCGCCCCTCTCTTCACACGAGTGTCCAAGACATGTGGCCGCAGATCAGATGAGACAATGACAAAGTCGATCATCGAACTGCGGCCTAGGGTGTCCTGGTGCCAAGAGCACATATGGACACCCTTATGCTTGAACAAGGTGTTCATTATTGACCATCCATGACGAGCACAGAAGTCCAACAACAGAACACCACTCTGGTTCACATCAGGGGGGCCGTTCCTCCCAACCACACCCCTCCAGGTCTCACTGTCATTGCCCACATGAGCATTGAAGTCCCCCAGCAGAACAAGGGAGTCCCCAGAAGGTGCACTTTCCAGTACCCCCTCCAAGGACTCCAGAAAGGGTGGATAATCTGAACTGCTGTTTGGTGCATAAGCACAAACGACAGTCAGAACCCGTCCCCCCACACGTAGGCGGAGGGAGGCCACCCTCTTGTTCACCGGGGTGAACCCCAACACACAGGCACCAAGTTGGGGGGCAATAAGTATGCCCACTCCAGCTCGGCGCCTCTTACCAGGGGCAACTCCAGAGTGGAAGAGTGTCCAGCCCCTCTCAAGGAAACTGGTTCCAGAGCCCGAGCCATGCGTAGTGGTGAGTCCGACTATTTCTAGCCGGAACCTCTCAGCCTCACACACCAGCTCAGGCTCCTTCCCCACCAGTGAGGTGACATTCCACGTCCCAATAGCCAGCTTCTGTAGCCGAGGATCAGACCGCCAGGGTCCCCGCCCTCGGCCACCACCCATCCCACATTGCACCCGACCCCTTTGGCCCCTCCCACATGTGGTGAGCCCATGGGAAGGGGGACCCACGTCTCCTCTTCGGGCTGTGTCCGGCCGAGCTCCATGGGTATAAGCCCGGCCACCAGGCGCTTGCCCGCGTGCCCCACCTCCAGGCCTGGGTCCAGAGTGGGGCCCCGATGACCCACGTCAGGGCAAGGGAACATTAGGTCCATTTATTTGTCTCATCATCGGGGTCTTTGGGCTGCACTTTGTCTGGTCCCTCACCTAGGACCTATCTGCCATGGGTGACCTTACTAGGGGCATAAAGCCCCTGACAGCATAGCTCCTAGGATCATTGGGACACTCAAACCCCTCCACCACGGTAAGGTGGCAACCCAGGGAGGGGGTTTTTCATTTAATTTTTAGGAAATACATTGAATTTGATTTGATCTTCTACCCATTCCTGTTTAAATTACTTTGTGTTGTGCAGTTTTATTTCAAAAGATATGGCAACAGGAACAGTTCATCTGTGGTGAAATAGAGACATTTATTGTTTTAATCCAAACAAAAACCTTCAGTAAGTGTCATAAAACAAATAATCCATGGTCTGTAGTCCATATAATGTTTCTACGGAGGATCAGCTGCTGAGTCTGTTTCTGGCTCTTCTGAAGGTCAGTTACAGTAAAAACAAAAATCTAAACCAGTCCATGGGTCACACCATGTCTACCTTAGATGAAAGAACCCAAACATAACAAGTTGCATTTTACTAATTTATTGAGCAATTGGTTCCTTTAAACAGTGACATCACTGTCATGTTTTAAATTGTTTAAACAAAAATAGAAAAATAATGTACCAAGCAGAGAACTCAACAAATAAAAATGTTTAAAGGCATTATTATACACTGGACGACGTCCTCCAGAAGTTCAGTGTATATGGTCGAGGTAACGAGCTCGTTTGGGTGAAGCATGATGTCGTGCATCTTCCCAGACTGCAGAGCATCATTTACACACTGGACCATTGCAGGTCTGGTGTTCCACCTCATCTCTCCACAGCTGGAACAGTCCAGAGCCTTGTGGAACCTAAAAGTGAAAGAAGACATGCACGAGTAAAAATAGTGTTACAGTGACTACAAGTTACAATCTGTTGGCCTTTCTTTTGGGAAAAAAATATTTGATCAAAAACAAGAGATTTACAATTGAAATTAAGTCAAGAAAATGTGACATTTGCAATTATAAATTACAGAAGCTCAATTTTTCTTTATTTATTTCACTTATCATATTTTATAATTATTTAATGAGCCTCACAGGCAGAGATTACAAGATGTTATGTATCTTACCTGCTCTGTTGAAGTGTGTGACAAGGGTCTTTGTGTCCAAAGCTGTTTAACAGCTTGCTTCCAGAGCTAACAGCTTCCTGTGTTAGGTAGAAAAATTAAATTAAATTAAAGACAAACAAAAAGCTTAGTGCTTCTTCTTGTGACATGCTTTATAAAACAGTTATTGAATAAAGGATTTACTTATGTAGGTAAACAGATGTTTTAAACCTGTTAAAATACACCAGAATGCAGGAAATAGCAGCTACTTTATTCAAAAAGTTATGGGGGAGGACCCACAGACCTCGCACCAATATGTCCCCCCTACAATAACTGTTATTATAATTTATATGTAACCAGCCTTTCATATAAAAACTGGGATATTTTTACCGGTGAATGCGTGCACTTTAACCAGGAAGAGTTCGGATGTTTTTTTTACATTACAAACAGCAACAGATAATGAAAATTTTAACCTAAAAACCCACATAACAAAGCAGAACATCATTTCTAAATTAAAAGGGACAAGGTGGAGAAAAATGTGCTGTTTGAGTTCATTTACTGACGGTAAACAAAGTCCGACTCCCTGCAGCTCCTCACAGCTGAGACTAAAGTTTAAATCAGCACAGCACCAACACACAACTCATGAAGTTCAGAGTTATTTGACACTTTCCTGCCTGTTCTGTGAGTTTAATAGACAGACAGTTACTTCTTACCTTGTGTTACAAACTATTTTCAGCTACTCGGTACCGCTTCGCTGCTCCTCCCCCTCACGGTGAAAAGCTACGGCTCGAACACTTGACTCCTGGGAAATGTAGTCCTTTTGACTTGTGTTAAAGTGAAGGCTTACTGAAAGAAAACTACAAAATAGCTGCGCCCGTGTTTTTTATTTTTTTTTTGTTTATTTCATTTTCATTTTTGGTTATTGATCGGTTCCCGCTCCTGTCTGCTCCCGTTAGCTTTCAGTCCGGTCATGTCCCGGTCACGTGAGTTATAATGAGGTTGACTCCGTCCCGCCGGAATCTGTCCGGAATCACGTGACCGGCGGTACTCCCGAAAAAATGTCATCCTCTAATCTGTATTACGAAAATCAGGTGGGAGTGAGTTCCAGAGCTGGGGAGCAGAGCAGCTGAATGCTCTGCTTCCCATAGTAACAAGACGGGCAAGGGGAACAATGAGCTGAATAGAAGAAGAGGATCTGAGGGTACGAGCAGATGTAGCCATGTGAACAAGGTTCAAAAGTATGGAGGAGCGAGGTGGTGGACAGCTTTGAAGGTAAGGAGGAGTATTTTGTAGTTGATGCAATATGGGATGGGAAGCCAATAAAGTTGTTGTAAAACAGGTGTGATGTGATGAATTGATGGGGTCCGTGTAATAATTCGGGCAGCTGAATTTTGGATCAGTTGTAATTTATGAAGGGTTTTCTGAGGTAGGCCCAAAAAGAAGAGAATTACAATAATCTAAACAAGAGATGACCAGACTGTGAACAAGAACAGCAGTGGAGTGAGGAGTGAGGGAAGGACGGAGATGATTAATATTTCGAAGATGAAAGTAGGCTGACCGAGTGATATTATTGATATGAGAGGAAAAGGAGAGGGTGCTATCAAGGATGATACCCAGACTCTTAACCTGATAGGAGGGAGAGATGGAAGAGTTATCAACTGGAATGGAAAAGCTATGAAGTTTATTTAGTATTGATTTAGTGCCAATTAAAAGAAGTTCTGTTTTATTACAATTTAGTTTCAGTACTGTGGAGCGGACTGTCAACAAGAAAGAGGGCTGGCAATTGAGGAGGGGCGTACCAAAGAGGCCATCTAATCACAAGCAGAACTGGTTTGTTCCACTTTGGAGTAAGCTGTTGGGGGAAGAAGCAGTTTGTTGTGTGTTTCCTTGACTGATGAAGCCTTCCGGATCGAAGGCGAAACGTTTCAGCACAAAAAAAAGAAACTGTCCAGATGACCTGACTGAAAAATGTTGGATTGTATACCTGGATTATTGAGCATGGACGTTGTTGTTTGACGTTTTAAATAAGTATTTGGACACCCAGATAATAAACAAAAGTCCATTCAGGGTGAGAAGTTCAGTTATCAGGAGAGACTCGGAGTAGAACCACTGCTCCTCCACATCGAGAGGAACCAGTTGAGGTGGTTCGGGCATCTGGTAAGGAGGCCCCCATGGCACCTCCCTAGGGAGGTGCTTTGGGCATGTCCGAATGGGAGGAAACTCCGGGGAAGACCCAGGACACACTGGAGAGACTATGTCTCTCGGTTGGCCTGGGAACACCTTGGAATCCTCCCAGAAGAGCTGGAGGAGGAGGCTGTGGAGAGAGATGCCTGGACCTCCATGCTCAAGATGATGCCCCCGTGACCCGAGTCCAGAACAAGTGGATGGATGGAGGGAGGGATGGATGATTGATGGATGGATGGATTGATGGAGGGATGGAGGGATGGATGGATTGATGGATAGATGGAGGAATGAATGCAGGAGGGATGGATGGATGATGAATGGCTGATGGAGGGATAGATGGATGTAGGAATGGATGGAGGGATGATGGATGGGTGGAGTTTTTTTCCTACAAAATAAAAGACATGAGTTTGAACCTGTAGATGATGAAACAACACATGTCCAGAACTTGGGCTGTTGTTTAAACATTTTGTGCCCGTTGTTGTGAAAAGAGTTGTTTTTGAATGTTCGTGGCCTCTTGAGTCTTCTCTGCGACCTGTTCAAGCTGTGATGTTTCCTTTAGACATGTGCATCAGCTTGTTGCTGGAGGCAGCACTGTCAGGAAACGAAGAGCAGAAGACTTTTGACTGCCCTCTGCCTCCTGACCTGAGTGTCCTCGTGGTGCTGGCTCTGGGTTCCTCTAAAGAACCTGCCAACAGCCTGTGGATCAACATGCAGGACTACGCCATCAGCAAAGGTTTGCTTTACTAAATACATCTGCTGCAGTTAGCCTTGAACAGAGAAGAACATTGACCTACTTCTGTTTCCTGTTGCAGACTGGGACAACGCCTCTCTAAATAATGAGTCCCTGTTGGACACCGTGTCCAGGTTTGTGTTTGCAGCTTTGCTGAAGCACACTGGGCTACTGGGCCAAGCCTGTGGAGAGGAAAGGTAAACTAAATTCTCTGCACTGTTCCATCCTAATGAAACATCTCATAGAAGAATTAAAAAAACAACATATTTTCCTTCTGTAGCTGGAGACATTTTGTTTACCAGTGTTTTCAGCTACAGAATAGAAGTCCAGATGCTTTGAGTTTACCATGTCCTGGATGACTGAGATCCTACACCAGCATCTCATATAGTTTTTCCATCAGGTATCAACCTTCCAAGTCCCTCTCAGAAGTCTATCGCAGTGTTTATAAAGTGAGAAACCGCCTGCTGGCCTGTAAGAACATGGACTTTATTCAGACCAGGTCTTCTTCACGTGAACGGAGGGTGAGCTACAAACACACATTTTTTTATTTTTCACGAGACAGTCCATGTTTATTTTGACCTGTGGCAGCAACAACAAACATCTTTTATTATTAGCATGAATCAGATTAGATCGAAGCTTAAGGGCTGGATTGTATTGAAGGCAGTAGAAAAGTCCAGGAAGAGAATCCTCACTGTGTCCAGACGTGAGTGGGCTCGGTGTAGCAGCTGAAGGATGGCATCCTCCATGCCAACACCTGCCTGGTACGCAGGACTCCAGAAACCATCTCAACACCATCAAACTGGTTGACCCACTATGTTTATAAGACTGAGTTTGTTGTGGCCCCTCGGACTGATGAAGTTTTTTGGATGAAAGAAGAATCATTTCAACAAAAATAAACCGTCCAGAGGACCTAACCCAACTTTGTTGGATTCCATGCAATGTAATTGCTACCGCCAATCAGCCTTCTATGTAAAGACTATAATATCTTAACTTCAATCCAAGTCACCAAAATTCAGAGTTATATAAAACCCCTAATAAAACCAGAACAAACTGGGTCTATTTTAAGCTGGCAAGGAACAAAAACGTGAGGAGAGCATTGAACCTGCAGTCAGTAGCGGGGGAGTGGTGGCGCAGAGGTTAGAGAGGTGGGCCTGTGATCCAAAGATCGCCGGTTCACGCCCCAGCCCCGACAGCATCAAAAAAATTGTGGGTGGGGTAGGTGAAGCACCCACACTTGCCCCCATCCTCATTCGCCCCATCCTGGGCCCATGAGCAAGCCCCCCCCCCCCAATCCGCTCCCCAAACAGGTCCCTCTTGAAAATTAGTTATCGTGGCTGGATAAATAAAGGGTAAATGAAAAAATGAAAAAAGTAGCTGCCAAAAACATAACACCCTCAGTGCTTTTAAACTTTGATTCTGAGAAAGCATTTGACCAATTTGACAGGTTATTCTTAGAACATGGCTAGAAATGGGATTTAGTGGTACATTTGTCACCTGGTTTAATACTTTTTACAACGGTCCTAAGTCAAAGTTGGGGTAAACGGGTGCTGTTGTGATTCATTCATGGGGGAAAGAGGAGTAAGGTAAGTAGACTTGGTCACCTATCCTCTTTGCATTTAGTATAGCAGTCTTGGCCACATGTCAAAATGTACAAATTCAAGGAATAGAAGATAAAGAAGGGTCTATTCATAATTTTATTTATTTTTTCATTTACCCTTTATTTATGAAGGTAGTCTCATTGAGCCATGAGAACTCATTTTCAAGAGAGACCTGTTTAGGGAGCATATGGTGGGGGTTAAGGGCCTTGCTCAGAGGCCCAGAGTGATGCGAATGAGGGTGGAGGCAGGTGTGGGTGTTTCACCTGTTCCACCTGCAAACCAGATTCCAACAAAGTTGGGACACTAAACAAATTGTGAATAAAAACTGAATGCAATGATGTGGAGGTGCCAACATCTAATATTTTATTCAGAATAGAACACAAATCACAGATCAAAAGTTTAAACTGAGAGAATGTATCATTTTAAGGGAAAAATCTGTTGTTTCCAAATTTCATGGCGTCAACAAATCCCAAAAAAGTTGGGACAAGTCCATTTTTACCACTGTGTGGCATCCCCCCTTCTTCTTCCAACACTCAACAGACGTCTGGGGACAGAGGAGACCAGTTTCTCAAGTTTAGAAATAGGAATGCTCTCCCATTCATGTCTAATACAGGCCTCTAACTGTTCAATCGTCTTGGGCCTTCTTTGTTGCACCTTCCTCTTTATGATGCGCCAAATGTTCTCTATAGGTGAAAGATCTGGACTGCAGGCTGGCCCTTTCAGTACCCGGATCCTTCTCCTACGTAGCCATGATGTTGTGATTGCTGCAGAATGTGGTCTGGCATTATTTTACGGCCTTGACCCTTACGCACAGCGATTGTTCCAGATTCTCTGAATCTTTTGATGATGTTATGCATGGTTGATGATGATAACTTAAAAGTCTTTGCTATTTTACGCTGGATAACACCATTCTGGTATTGCTGCACTATCTTTCTGCGCAACAATGGTGGAATTGGTGATCCTCTTACCGTCTTGGCTTCTGAGAGACACTGACACTCTGAGAAGCTCTTTTTATACCCGATCATGTTGTCAATTGACCTAATTAGTGTTAATTGGTCTTCCAGCTGTTCGTTATATGCTCAATTTCCTTTTTCCAGACACTTATTGCTACTTGTCCCAACTTTTTGGGATTTGTTGAAACTGTGAAATTTTGAATCAACACATTTTTCCTTTAAAATGTTACATTTACTCAGATTAAACTTTTGATCTGTCATCTATGTTATATTACGAATAAAATATTGACATTTGCCATCTCCACATCATTGCATTCAGTTTTTATTCATAATTTGTTTAGTGTCCCAACTTTTTTGGAATCCGGTTTGTACATTTTGATGTTGACGGTACTGGGAGGTGAACCTGCGACTTTCTGATCTCAGGACCATCTTCTCTAACCTCTGCGCCACCACTCCCCCGCTACTGACTGCAGGTTCAATGCTCTCCTCAAGACCTCCCTTTTGGCTGACAACATACCTGCATATATGCAATGCATTCATTAATATGGCTCAGTCTCAGGGTATAAAATTAATGAGGAAACGGTGATGGTATTGGGGAACTGGCCTGTACCGTTAAATGAAACTGTTTCATTCTGCTGGCTCATGCAGGGATTTAGGTACCTGAGAATAATACTCACCAAAAAGTATCTCACAGTCATTTGATTCTAATCACAATATTCTAATTAGATAAATCAAAAAAAGATAAAATACAATTGGAAGTTCTTCTGTTTCAGTGCTTGGAAAGGTTGAGGCAGTGCAAATTAATATCTTGCCTTGGCTTCTGTTTCTTTTTCAATCCTTAACTGTCAAAGTACCTTTAATATGTTAAATAAATGCATCTCTCATTTCTTTTTGCAAAAAAGGAGACATAGGATTCAAATTTCTTCTTTTATCAAAGGATAAAGGGGGTTTGAGGCTACCAAACCTGAAACACTAGTGGGCATCACAATTGAACACAGTAGTTCATGGATTAGAACTTTCTGGGTAGAGTTTGCATGTTCTCTTCGTGCATGCGTGGGTTTTCTCAGAGTACTCCAGTTTCCTCCCACAGACCAAAAACATGCATGTTAGACTGATTGGTAACTCTAAGTATTCCCTAGTTGTGAGTGAGAGAGTGAATGGTTGTTTGTCTCGTTCTATTTCGTATAGGCTTCGCCCTTTAAGGCTATTGCTAGTGGGTTTATCCCTTCACGCGCAGCACTGAAAATTTTTGTCCATGCCCACATGCTATGTGGGCCTCACCCCGGTCTATATAAATTACGGTGAGACTGGGTAATTGGCTCCCATTTTTTCTTCAGCCAGCTAGCTAGCACTGTCAGAAGAACGAAGAAGGAAAAGTTGTCCAGCTTTGACCGGCACAACTTTTGCTAAGGATGCCTGGGTCTCCGCCACGCCAACCTCCTGCAGTTCTGGTGAGCTCTTCCTCCCAGAGAAGAAGCAGAGACGAGCAGCCTTGTTCAAAGTAAGCGCCGAGGAGTGCTTTTCCGTGGTGGGCCGCTACCCACTGGACGACACCATCGCCTTTTCTAACGTTTTTTTCCTCGCTGTGAATCGGATGATTCCCTCGAAAAAGGCGTTGTTGGCAGCAGCTCCGCTGAGTGTTTGTCCGTGGCGTGCTGTTACTTGCTGAATGACACCATCGCCTTTTCTAACGTTTTTTACTCGCTGTGAATCGGATGATTCCCTCGAAAAAGGCGATGCGGGCAGCAGCTCCGCTGAGTGTTTTTTTTTTCCTTGGCTGACGCTACATGCGGGACGACGCCACCGCCTTTCTTTGATGCAGAGTCATGCAGGGAATTGGATGACTCCTCCGAGAAAGGCGATGCTGGAAACAACCTTGCCGCCCTTTCCCTCCTGGAGAGCGTAGTGATGGAAGAAGAGCGGTCAAACAGATGCTCAGCCACCTCGGGTCTTCCCACTTCGGCGACCACACCGTTCCCAGCCGTCGACGCTCTCCTTTCGGAGTTGCCCGGTATAATCCAGGAGGCTGCTAACACAAAGGGACTTTCCGTCCCTCGCCTCCCTCCGTCCTGATCGGATGATCTGGCGGGAAGGTTTGGCTCCGCCCCGCCCCGTCGCCCTGATCCCATCTGGCCTCGCTGTCCAGCTGTGACGTCACATTGGAACGAGGCTGCAGCTGGGCCCGGCAAGCTGAAGACATCAGTCTCCACCTTCGCCTCCATCTCCAGAGTGGAGGGTTGTTTTTACCGATCTGTGTTTTTTCCCCTCGTTTCTCCCCCCTGGAGACAAGCCTGGTGGAGGCACTTGGGACAAAAGCTTCCAGGATGGACCGGCAACCTATCCCTCCAGTAAAGCATGAGCAGAGGGTGGCAAAGCTCTCCAACCGAGCTCACCAGTGCACATCCTAGGCGGTTGCGGCGAACAACAACATCGCTGTGCTGGCCTACATCATCCCAAAAAGGCTGGAGGACTCCTGCTGGAGGAGACAAAGAGCTCTCTCTGTAAAGCCGCTGACGTCATCTTAAACATGTGCGCCACCTCTGCGGTCTGGCAAGCTGAAGACATCAGTCTCCACCTTCGCCTCCATCTCCAGAGTGGAGGGTTGTTTTTACCGATCTGTGTTTTTTCCCCTCGGTTCTCCCCCCTGGAGACAAGCCTGGTGGAAGCACTTGGGACAAAAGCTTCCAGGATGGACCGGCAACCTATCCCTCCAGTAAAGCATGAGCAGAGGGTGGCAAAGCTCTCCAACCGAGCTCACCAGTGCACATCCTAGGCGGTTGCGGCGAACAACAACATCGCTTTGCTGGCCTACATCATCCCAAAAAGGCTGGAGGACTCCTGCTGGAGGGGACAAAGAGCTCTCTCTGTAAAGCCGCTGACGTCATCTTAAACATGTGCGCCACCTCTGCGGTCTGCCTGTCCCGCATCGCCGCCCGGATGACCATGATCCAGAGGACCACCTGGCTCCGC